TATCAGATATCAGTTTCAGTTCAGTTCAGTTATATATGCCAAGATCATGATATTGTTATTATTTTCACTGTTTTACTTAGTATGAGTTTCCACGGAGCACAGTGTTTTAGTGCTCACGCCCCACTTATTTCATGTTTTTCAGGTCATAGGGTCGGGGACGAGGAGTGAGCTGACGAGTTGTTCAGGACATTTGTTTTGTTATGTATAAACTATGTTTTAGCCACGCTACCTTTCCGCTAAAACTTTCAGTACTTAAACTCAGTTTTTGATCCGACTTTAGTCGGTTAATACGTTATATAACCGTTTTTATTACCAGTTTAAAATTAACGGTTTTTCAGTCAGATTTTCACGGTAACACTCCGAATCAGTTTTCGCAAAATAAATATTTTATTAATTTGTTCAGAAATATTGCAAAAAATGCGTACTCTGATATTATTAAAATAGCGGGGTGTTACAATTGGTATCAGAGCACGTTTCTGCGTCTCTGAAAGTTTTATAAGTCAGAAATTTTCAGAAAAACCTGAACCGTCATGCTCACGCCTCGCCGACTACAGGTAAGTGCTGATTTATCTTTTCAGTTATAAACATATTACTATTGTCTATGCTCAGAAATTATTAATCAGGACTTAGTTAAGATGCTCGAATTAGAATCAGACTTTAGAACTCAGTGTAATTAGATTTAACTCTAGACGTCCTCAGGATCTATATCAGTATTTTCAGGCCATTTTTGGCAACTCGTCAAGAGATCTGTGTACTTTAGAAATCAGTCAGAATATTTTTTTCATGTGTTCAATAATTTGAACTTTTTCAATGTTCAGATGACGCCCCGTAGGGAACCCGATCACCCAGTTCTTCCTCAGGCCACGGTGGTCGCACAGTTTCGCGACTATCACCTTGAGAAATTTTCCGGGCTGGGAGACCCCCGTATCGTGGACGAGTGGATTCAGGGCCTTGAATTTATTTTCGAGGTCATGGATTGTCCAGACAGATATCGCGTAATCTGCGCTCAACTTCAGCTAACCGGTGATGCCTGGCTCAGGTGGAATGCCTACTGGAGCATGCGTCCCGGCGAGAAGGCGGGATGTACATGGGATATGCTCAAGGAGTTGATCCGCGAGAAGTACTACCCCACCTACTACAAAGCAGAGATGGAGCGTCAGTTTCTGTCACTCAAACAGGGTACTCGGACTGTAGACGAGTATGAAAGAGAGTTTACCAGACTTGCAGCTTTTGTTCCTGACTTGGTTCGCACGGAGGCCTAGAGAGCACAGCGCTTCATT